CACCACCTTTAGCGCGACTCGAACCTGAATTGCCGTAGTTTAGTGCACAATTTGGCCATGTTAGCATTACCTATGACCACCACGAGAGTCAGTCGATCACGAGCAAGCTAGATCTATTCTATAGCGGGTTTTTCGCTGAAGCGACCGTGTAAGTGGTATTTCAAAACTGTCGGTAGATCTTGAATAATTTCTTTATTCAACCAAAATTGCATAAGATGATCAAGTGCTGACAACTAAATATTTGCCTAGAAATGAGACTTCATCTTACTATGCCATGGAAATACATACAGTCTTGCATCTTAAGACCTATTTCCATCAATCGCACTAAACTACAGCCTCCCCCTTGCCTGAACTGGTCTCGTTAGCACCCCTAGCGGGACTCGAAGCGAGGTTGTCGTAGAGCGACGTATGCTTTCAGCACGTCATTCTCTCTGCTCAACTGCCACGAGTGCCCTTGTCTCCTACAGCAAACGCCAGTCTTGCAGATAGTACAGTGTTGTGGTAGGCTAGTAGATAAGGCAAAATTGTACTTGCTACATCAATTAACTGCACTACTTAATTACGATTTATAAGTAGGTCATAAATTTAAAACGGGTTCAAGTATCGCCGGGGGTGGTGATGAGACCCATTGAGGCGAGGTTAAAACTGCAGTCCATTCCAGCCCTATGAGAAGCAAGGTTGTGTGAAATTAGATGAAAAAATGGGGCTCGAACTTGTGATTATGGGATAATTGAACCAGCACTCTTTCATGACCTCACACCGAATAGGATTAATTAATCTCGTATATATGATCTATTGGTGGTCATAACGGCAAATGTTACCATTACGCCACATTTCACGGGTTCGAGTCCCGCAAGGGTGCTGGCCGTGAAACAAAGCAATGTACTATTCAACAAAAGCATGTTACTTTCGCTCATTTTTCACCAAAAGTGATTGCATCTTTTAGACTCTACACAATCCGAATAAAAAAATAAACATTTCAAGGTCACCACAACTGTACCACTTGTGGTAAGTAAGCAAAAAGATCAGTCATCGAATGTCGCGACAGTACAGCTTAGAGCTGTTGTTGCAGGCATTAGTTGCTACGAGCACCTTCTCAACGGGTTTAAGGTCAAAACGCGTTCTCGTTGCGTTGAGGCCGACTTACATTTTGCTGTCAACGCAGAATCTATTGGCTGCTGGGCCAATTTGTGCTGCAGACTCGCTTCGCGTCGAAAAGTGGAAGCAGATCACGAACTCCGTTTGGACATTTCAACTCTGCACACGCCTCGCAGCCAACAGGGCTTCATGTCTTTCGGCCAGTTTGGCTTTAATCTCGTTTCTTCTCGTCTTCGACAGAACCGACCGAACGACCGAACGACCGGCCAACAGGGACTCGAGCCAGGCTCTGACAACCGGTCGTCTGCGGTCGCAAAAGCCGGATTTCCGGTTGCCAAGCCGGTCCGGGTGGCGAGGAGACTGGCCGAAAAGTCCACCTTGACGACCAGTTTGGCAAGCTCGTGTCACGACGCCGTTGAGGCCGGTTAATCTGCGGATTAAGCGGACGCACTTCGTCACCGTCCTGCAATGCTCGCCACAGAAGGCGGCTTCACTTGACTCCAACCGCTTCTCTGAGGCATCGTAAAGACTCGGCCTCGTCTGGTTGCCAAGCCGGACCGACTTAATCCTGCCGTTCTCTTGGCTGCTACCGTCGGCCCGACCGAAAGACACACCAACCACGCGACGAACTTGCAAAGAGGATTGGA